TTAGCTTAAATAAACGCCTGTTTGAGTTGGGACTGTTGAGAGCAAGAAGGAGTGAGATGTGACGGGACTGCTATCCTGACATCTCAGAAAGGCTTTCATTGTTTCTCCGTTTGGAGAAAAACCAGCCTCGGATAAATATTTACTTAAAGTTCTGCCTCTGACTTTTCCTTTCTGTCTGCGGTGCACGCTCTGCTATATCCAAGCTCACAAAGGCACTTTTTGTTGCTCGTTGCACACACACTCAGCCGCCACCCAGAGGGGACAGCGAAAGAGGAGCAGAGAAAGAGATGCAGGGAGCAGACAAGGTCGTAGTTCCTGTGGACTGTCTTTGAAAGGGGAGTCGTATGTTTTCCCTCCCGTCCTTTGATGTTAAAGCAGTCTCTTTACCAGTGTAAAGACGGGCTACAATAACCTAGACCCCCTCCCCGGCCCTCGCCCAGCCCTCTGTACGCTGACTGTACACCCCCACAACGCTCTGCGGGGGGACAGGTAACCCACAGCAACCCCGGCCAGAAACCAGAATGAGTGTGGCCGCTGTCCAGGACCTGTGCAGCGTGCTGGGTGTGTGTGTGTGTTTGTTTGTACTCGCCTCTATGCCCGAGTGTGTGTGTGGACTGTATGTATGTATGCATGTGTGTGGAAGTGTGTGAGTCGGTGGAAAAAATATAATAATCGTGGATGTCAGGTGGATAGTTAAAGAGTCGCACAGACCTTGAAAAATCTGAAAAGTAATCTTATATATAACAGATGTGATGCAGAGTGTCATAAATAAAAAGAAAACCAGTGTTCTGTCAGTGGAAAACTCAGTGTGCTTTACAATAACGTAGCAGACACAAGAATCTTTGTAAGGATATAATCCAAAAACTGGAAAAATAAAGAAAAAAAACCAACGACAGACCCGACATCCTCCCAACAAACTCAAACCACAAATACAGACGCATGTACAGCAAATAAAGTTTTTACTTTTAAATGTGGACACAGTAAAACTAACTAAAAGTAGGGATCCTACGGGATCAAACGATTAAAAAATCTGTTAAAAAACTGTGAAAGGGTGCAGGAAATATACTTTGATACACAGTGGAGTGCTTTATTGTTCAAAAATAGAGAAATAATCATATCTGTAAAATAGTTAAAAGGTTTTTAGCAGATTTAAACAGAATAAAACTTGTAGTATCTACAGATTTGTGATGTGGAGATTGTGTAAAGTTTTGGCTGTAAATCTGTAATTTATCAAAACAGGGGAAATGTGTTAAATAACAGTTTAAAAAATAAAAATTTCTTGTCTGTAATATAGGTATTTTTATTTTAAGTAACAGCAAATGTCTGTGAAACACCAATTTTTTGCTGATTTAAACACAGTGAAGCATAATGTAATGTTACGGTCAAGCGTAAAATATAGATTATTTACAGCTTTTTTCACCGCTTACATTTAATTTTTTTTCTGTAATTTCACTAGTTATCTGTAAATTTGAAAAACAATCTGTGAAGTAAAAGTTGAAAAGTGTTAATAAATGACGATCTGACCGCTGTGTAGTCAGTTAAAGGAAACTTACTGATGGATTCTGTGATCAAAGCTAACGCCGGTGTTGGAGTAAATAGCTGGGCTTCGTGTGTAGAGACAGGAATGGAGAGTCATTAGACAAACATGCTGATGTGTGTGATTTTACCGTGTAGAAGCATGACAGCTGCTCTGAATAGACTCTTCTTCAGTTACCGTTCACCTGAGCACACACCAGGATACCTCATCCTGAACAAGCCTCCTCGCTGTCCTTTGTCAACTCAGATTCATACGTGGCCACAGGGCTCGTGGACACACGTCGTCACACTCACCCATTTGCTCTCTTGTTTTTCTGTATCTCCGTCAGCCTCCTTGTTTCTTCTATTCTGCCATAAATTCCCTGAGACCCCGACAGCTCCTCAGAACAAGGTCTCAGGAACTTTCAGGGCAGCCAGACGGGCAATAGCTAAATGAAAGCTGGCTGAAATGAGGTTTTCCCTCCAAAAAGGGCTGACTTCCTCTAAAAAAGCTGGTTAGGAGAGGATGAAAGAATCCTCTTATGTCAGTAAACTCGTTACGCCGGCGCTGCCATGCCATGCTAGCCCCAGCGTTTCCATGGCACCCAGTGTTATCTGTGTGTATTTTTGTTGGGACTTGTAGTTTTGGGGGTTGAGTTGCAAAATGAGATTTTTTCCCCCCACACACACACCAAGAGGAGCAAGAGGGTAAAGATAAGAGAGAGTCCCCTCTCAGCGTTAACGAGACAAAATAAGAGAGAGGGAGAGGATGGAGAGAGCTTTAACTGCACAGATAGAAACATGAATGGCCAACACAGCAATCCTGATCCTGCACCATCCAGTGTGGAGGTTGCTCCTCCCTTACACCTGCTGCTGTACACTGATCTGACTTAATGTCATGTACGCCGTCAGTGTTGTACACCAGTATAGTAGCATAGGCACATGTGAGCGAATGTATGAGATCTCAGACATGCTAGGCTAATATTCATCCCCAGTATAACTTTAGATTGTATGTAGAGGCATAAAAAAGAATCTAGTCAAGCTAAGTACATGTGATGGCACAGCTACACGCCAAAACAAACAATTACAGCTAATAAAACCGTTAAACTTTAGCAAACTGACTTTAAACAGGCTCATTTTACAGGTTTAACATATATTTTTATACAGAACAGTTACAGTAATAGTGCCATAAATATTAGCAACGTTGATTGTAATTGCATCATCAGCGGTTGTAGCTGTAGCTCGGTAGGAAAGGATTTGACACTTTTGCACATCTTTTTTTTTGAAAACTCCCATGTTTCAGTGATAATGTGTAGTAAAAATGATTTTCTTCTTAGTGATACTGGTGGTAATACTGATGTGTAGTGATGTTCTAGTGTTAACAGTTGGAACATTAGCAGTCGTAACAACAACAACGCATTATTTGATCAGTGAAGAAATAGAAGAAAGTGCTTCGTATTAGTGCTGATTATCAGATCTGATGTGCAGTATTTTTCTGATTATTATTATTGTTGGTTTTTGTAGTAAATTTTCAATAAAAATCAGGTAGTTTAAAATGATGCAGCTGCCCCTCTGTGGTCTCCAGCGATGTCCCACCAGCATTGCTAACACGTCACTAGTAATCATCTATCCTCAAGATGTAGATTAGAAATTGAGACGTTCTTCATGATGCTGCACCAAGATCGGTTTCTGAGTCATGGGCAGGAGGATGGAGGACAGAGGAGACACAGAGGCTGAGATGAGATGAGGAATTCTGACTTTTCCTTAGCAGGAGCAAAAGCGAAACGCCCAACAACATCACAAACAACATCAAGACTAGCCTCCATTATAGCGTGTTTCACATGTATTGCCCTAAAGTGGTAGCAGACGACGACAACAGACAGAGCAGTGTATTAGCATTGTTTGGCCTTACGCTTGCACTCTGTTGGGATAATATTGGGTAATATTAATCACTTTGTTGACAGTCAGGTTTGTGGTTTTAAAAGTATTTTATTGATTCCCCAGTGGGAAATTCTATCATTGCATAAACATCAGAAGGGCTTCGATGCACAGTTGGGACGCTGCTCACACACACAGAATAAAACACACCAGCAGCAGCACACAACAGCAAACCATCAGTACCTCAGGGGAAACCCTGCAGAGTGCACTGGTAGAGAGAAACGGCTCGACCCTGTAGGAAGACAAGTTAGCTCGCTGGAGAATAAAGCGAGTAATAAAGTAGGAGGGAGGCGGCTGTAGACCTGCTCTGTGTTCATTAGCTGATACGTGGAATGCCGCCTGCTTTGTCTGAGCTGTCAGCTGCAAAGTGTGCGTCCATCACTGCGACCCTGTGATGTGTGAATGAAGGCGAAGCATCACCGCCCCTGACCTTGTCTCGGTGTCAGTCTGAGGTCACGCATGTCTGTCTGTCTGTCTTTTTGTTATTACTGAAATGAGCGTTTTTGCAGTAGAGTTACCCCTACTGGTACTCCATCTTACTAGTAATACAGGTACAACAGGTCAAAGAAGCAGCGCTGCAAAAGAGTGTGAGAACATTTGTCTTATTTTCTTTAAATCATACCCTCGACTGATATAACATTAGTGTTACCGATGCTGCTACCAGTCATACCAGTAACACAGATGCAACAATAACAACCGCTACCATCGCTACTGCTGTGGGAAGAGTTTTATGTTTTTAGATAAACATTGATTTGGTTGCAGAATAATCATAATCTTCTCGTAAGTATTGAACAGATTTGTTTACGTACTTTTGCATAATCATTTGACAACATTTTCACTCTGCACTAAAAGTTTTTATTTATTTTAATCTTTAGTCAGCGCTCACATTCCACATGTACGTTGTATTTCATGTGTAGTTTAAAGAGGAAAAGCAAAAACTGTAATCAGATGTATTAAATCCACAACAGGGGTCCAAAAAAACAACAAAAACAAGTAATTCAAACTGCTTGAGTGTCACATTTACACAGCAGAGGGCCGTAGTTTAAATTTCATGTCTTCAAATCATCGTTCAACATACAGAATGGAAAGAAGGAAGGTTTAAATGAACTAATAACTATCAAAAATATGAATCTAATGTGGGTAATGCAGTCGTGACTCGATAATCTGACCGTTAACAATCCGACAGCCTTGCTATCCGACATAAAAGAAGGTTTTACATTTAGTGTCGGATTATCGAGTCACCACTGTATATGAATGTTGACTTGGAAAAAATCACAAAAGTCACACAATGTCATGCTATTCTTTAAAAACGTCTCCTTCTTGCCAGCTTCTGTGCCTGGTCAGGGAGTAACCGGCGCTCTCGCCTGCTTGTCGTACAAGTTTGTGAGCACGTGTGCCTACATGCATGCCTTGCTTGACCCTCTGACACAAATAGGCCTGTCCATTATGTGAACTCATCAAGATATTCATCTGCGGTCGTGTTTGGTCTGCCCCGTGTCTTTCTCCGTCTTTCATTTGTTCTTTCTCTCACTCGTCCCTCTCCACAGACTCGGGTTACACTCCTGTCAGATGGCGTTCTGCCTGGCTGAGCTGCACTTGTGGTCCACCAAGAGCTCACTCCAAGTTAAAGGTAGCACTTATCACCATGTTCAATCTCCCTGGCTCTCAGAAATTCTCCCCTCGTCTCCTTTCTCCTTCCCCTCTCACTCCGTCTCGTTCTGGCTCTTTCTGTCATCGCTCACTTTGTTTTCACACCTTCACCCCACCTCACCTTATATCTGCCTCAGCGATCTGACTCAGTCAATTCTCACCTCGTCTGTTTTCACTTTCGCGTGCTTTCCATGTCTATTTGTTATTCATTTATTTATCTGTTTTCATTTTGTTGAACTGTCGCCGTGCTTTGTTTAAAATCTAATTATTGAGCGTGAACTTGAGGTAAGTTTGCCGGTGAAGGCGCCATGTTTTAAATCATCGTAGAAGAAAATTACACAAAACTGACTACAGGAAGTTGTCTTTTCATGTGCAGCAGTGTCTCCAAGCCCTGCAAACCTCCGTCACCATCACGTAGAGCAGCAATTAGTCGATTAGGTGACAACTATTTAAAACTATTATTAAAAAAAACTCCTAAATTTGATTATTTTCGGTTTCTCTTGCTCGTCTATGACAATAACTTGAATATTTGTGAATTATCATCAGAACAACACCTCTGAGGACGTTGTCTTGGACACTGGGAAGCACTGATTGGAATCTTTCACCACTTTATAGACCAAACAGTTGATCTGATTCATCTACAATAACCATCAGTCGAAGCCCTTGTCGTCCTGTATTCACTGAGAGATGTTAACTTCCACCTCGTGTTTCTTCGTCCGACCAACTGTGATCTAAGTTTGACTTTTCCGGCACTTTCTGTGTGGCGCCCTGCTCGCCACCTATCAGTCCATCTCCTCTGTCAGACAGAAATGCTCTGTTTCTCCATTTTCTTGTTTTCTCCTCCCTTCCATTCTGTCTTGTCTTTCACAGTCTGCTGAGCTTTAGACGGAGATAGCGTCTCTCGGAGGCTGTGTGTGTGTTTATATACGTGTGGGTGTATGTGTACACACTAAGGTACGAGAGGGTGTATATCCTCGGTGACGGTGACATATCCTTATTTGTTTGTTTTTTCCTGCCGTGTGTGTCTTGTGCTATCTCAAACGACTGTGGATGGATACATCTGAGGGGAAGAGACCTGGTCGCTGAGGTGTGACGCTCCCTATCACCACCTCCCTTACATCATATACGTCCGCCTCCAAAACAAAAATCTAGATTCACAAAAGCAGCATCGGAAATGTTGCGTACGTTCTGCGTGCGAGATCACGTTTGTGTAGCTGCACACTACAGCAGAAAGCTTGCTCAGCTGAGGCCAAGGTGGAAGGAAAAAGAGAGTTTATTCATTATACTGCTAGATTTTAATAGAAGATCTGACCTGCTGACCTACAGCCTGTGCTGCCTAATGATGCTATAAAACAGTGTTTTTTATTCCTGTGTGGACCAGTTTATAACAGGACATTGTTTGGGAACCTGGCTGATATTTTACGTCTGTTCAAAGGTCTGCGGTTTCAAAAAACGTTGCACGAAGCCTTTTGTGCATGAACTCTAATAAACTGCCTGGAGAAGCGCGGTTTGAAAGAAGCTATCTTACCAGACCTCTGTAGCTTTCATTTCATCTTTTCTTTAGGCTACAGGCCTGAAGCTACGTTACCCGCCACAGAACAGAACACACCTGAATCTCCTCAACTGTCAGCAGCTAAGTTGAACTGAGCCAGGAGCCAGGAAGAAGAATGAGTGAAATAAGGAAATAGTTTGTATATTGCTGAGTTTTTGTCTGTCCTCACCCTCATTAGATGTAGGACAGATGATCTAGAATTAAGATTTAAATAAGGACTACATGCTTTCTGTTTGGGAGCGTTGTTTTGATAGATTTACAGTGAATGAAGGATGGCTGTAGTCTATACAAACAGCCACAACCTTAAAATCACTGACAAATGAGGTGAATAATATGTAGTGAGATACCTTGGTTCATTCATGTTGGATATTCCTTTGGCATGTAGCACCTACCTAAATGTTTTTGCACACCAAGCCCAGCCCCCAAAGCAACAACACTCCCAACAACACTCGACCACACTGCAGTAGCTGCTCAAGAACAGCTCGAGGACCACGACCAAGAGCCCAAGAAACTGATGCAGCTTCCAAATTCACCTGATCGCAATCTGATGGAGCATCTTCAGGTTGTCCCACAGCAACCCCGATTCACAGAGAAAAAGTGTCCCGCATGCGCAGAAGAGGACACGACGACGTCACACGCAGCGAGCGTGCTCAGTGTTTATGGAAGTAAACATGGATGGTAACGGTGGAGCGTATCTGCCACTCCCCCGCCACCACCGATGGAGGAAACAGAAGTGTGAGCGCTAACTAAACTAGCATCAGCAGCCAAGTACTGCCAGTGTGTTCTGGACACTTCCACCCCGTCAGAGCGCTGCCCTGGGGTGGAAGTGTCCCCCGACCGGGACGGATATTCATCATTAATTGGGCCTGAATATCCAGAGACCAGAAAGTGCTGTTGGGACCAGCCCTACTAGTTATTATAACAACTATGAACAATAAATATTAACAACTAATGAGCCTTCCAGCATCAAGTCCTCCTTGTATCTCGACCTCCGTCTTGACAATCCGACAGCCTTGCTATCTGACATAAAAGGTTTTACACTTATTGTTGGATTATCGAGTCACGACTGTATTTTCAAAAGGCTAAATAATTTCCTACAACATGAAACAACTGTTCACTGCAGCAGAGGAGTGTATACGAATAAAAATAAATAAACTGCAGTGTGTGTTCGAGATAATAAAGGAACACGTCAACATGTACAATAGCTCCTAACATTTTGGAATATTTAAACGTTTCTAGACAACAACATATGCGGTGCAGTGGAATGAGATATTTTGCTAAACAAACAATACTTGTTAGGAGGATTATACACAGTATAGCTGTATATATACGGTTGATTTCAGTCTTTTAATGGCATTTAGGAGGAAATATCCATAGATAAGGCTGTCAGAAAATTTTTAAAACTCTTTATATTATTGCATTACAAGGACATTTGGTAATGCCACTGCTCAATGTAGATCCAAGTAGTTTTATACAAATGGTTAAGACACTTTAAGAAGTATTGTACTGATGCTCAAGGTTATAGTTTCACCTTTTGTGTCACACATGAAAAGATGACACCAAGTCATTATTACTGGTGTTCTAGTGACAGAATGACTCTACATGTTTAATGCTTACTGAAAACCCTCATTAACAAACACCAGTAATGTGTTGCAGCGGCGAGTGCATCTGTATCCCCCATGCAGTGTATGTGGTCTGCGGGTTTGTGTGTTTGTGTGTCTGCCATCAGCTCTCCCGTTGTATTAGTGTGACCTGGCCTCAGGAGCAGCAGCAGAGGCAGCAGCAGCGATAAAGAAACGATGTGTTGTGCGAATCCGAGACCGGCTGCTTATGGTTTTGGGCCTGCAGGAATAACACTCGCGAAAAAAAAAAAAAAAAAAGTCTCAGCTCAGCAGTTTGTGTGTGTATATCTCTCTGTTTGTGTGCGTGTTGCATGCTGTGTCTGTGTGTGTGTGTGTGGGTCACATGTTTTGTGTAGCCGACTCTGTGCGTCTACTTTAAAATGTATATGTTGCATGTGTGTAAATCAGAGTTTGTCCCTCAGGTGGGATGGGTTAAGGCGCACTCCTGTCTTTATTAATACCCCTCCACGCTGGCTCGGACCCCCCCAGCCCACCTCCCACCTCCTCCGCCGCCTCCCTCACAGGGTCTTATCTGAACTGTGGTGCTGGCAGACGGGACAGGCCACTGGCTGATAGTGATTGTTTATCCCACGGTGCGAAATTGCTGATCTGTCTTCTGCTTTTCCCTGACAGCTAGATGTTCATCTCGCTCTCTCTCTCTCTCTCTCTCTCTTTCTCCCTCTCTTGCCCCACAGATACAGATATTGGCACCTATCAGTACTACGATAAAGGAGAGCCAGGTAAATAGTGTTTATATTGGATGTCTGTTTGTGTTTAAGATAAGTTGCATTTGTCTTGTTTTCGGAATGTATGGGATTTCCTTATATATAAAGAAGGGCTTTTTGCTGCCTCCCGACACACAGATTATTGGCCCTGCGTATTTCGCCGCCTTACACCCGTTAACCACACATGCACTTGTCCACACAGAGGCTATTAGTATGTAGGATTTACACCCTAAAACCTTATATACACATGCACATACCCCACATACACACACATGTACACGCAGGTTATTAGGCCTCCGTGGGTCTATCTCTTATGCTCCCTGTGTTCCTGTTGACCCGGGGTCCTGCCACACAGCGATAGGAAAACTAAACTGTTGACTTTCTCCTAGATCACATAGCAAGAGGCCCCACGCAGTCCAGCCTCATATTGCCTCAGGCCGCGAGGCTTCCCTTACCGCCAGGAAGTGCTCAAATCGCTCCCCCGCCGGCCCAGCGGCCTCGGGACGGGCTTCCTTATCCGTCACTTTATTCCGCTTCTTGCTGTGTGAGCGTTCGTGGTTTTAATGAAATGATGCATCTTGCAAGCATTTTTAAAACTGGCTTGTCTTTATCTGTGTGCCGAGCCTTAAAAACTGGACCCTGTGAGAGTCAACGCTCCACGTTTACAACTCAAAGTAAAGCAACTTCGCATTTATCTGAAATTTTAGCACCTTTAACAGCTGCAAGAAGTATGTACGAACACTGTACTGCACTATTACAGAGTGTTCAGGAGGGCTGCACGATATTGGAGTAAACTGACATGCGATATTTTGCTTTTCTGCAACTACAAGATGATTTGAAAAACTCTCCCTGTGGAGGCTCTGACTACTGATTTGAATGCTCAAACAAATTAGTTACCGTGTATTTGGAAGATATCGCTGTCAGATACCCATTTTTGGTCAATATTATTCTTTCTGTAGCTGAAAAATTTCCGTATGACCGGCCTTGCGTTTCTTTTTGCAACCAGATCTTCCTTTTTAGTGTTTCTCTCCAGTTTATCGCTCGTTTCCTGTGAACATGTGGAGCTTGTGTGTCAACAAACTTTGAGTTTTGTGAAAAAAACTGCGCCCAGGAACCTTTAAATCGGAGCAAATGATGTTCTATCAGACAAACTTTTTGTGCAGAATAATCTTGGAAAATGAGAACTGCATGAGTTTGTCTTTTTGTAAAAAGCAGCAAAAACAGCCATAGAAGGATGTGTTTAATTACTTCACATTGCACTTCCTCTGATTAGACTAATGGGCACATTGCAATGTCAGTGCTGAAACGATATACTGTGCATGCAGAGTGCAGCCTGTACCGCTATATGACTAATAGTGTACACTTTCACATGCAACAACCGAGAAAGGACTGCTTGCTGACAGGGTATTTTATGTTTTTACATATTTCTAAATGTGTAAGAGAGAGTTCTTTGGGGCACATCAGTTCTTCTATTACTGCTGTATTTTTCTTTAATTGAACTATAATTCAAGCCTGTGTTCACTTTTTTGTGCGACTCTTTTGGGGGCAACACAAACCAAACACAACTTGGACAACTTATCATCCTTCAAAGATAATTTTTCAGACATATTGACAAACACTTAAAGTCGTATGAAGCAACATTAGCATTCAAGGAGAGCGTTTGTGTCCAGTGTTCACTCTCTGTTGAGGTACATTTTGGTCTCCAGTACCTCCTGAGGGAAATATATCTGGCTTTCACACAACTAAATGCTCCACTAGTTGTGTACCTGGAAATGATGAGAGCTGTGAGAGAGTCTTGGGAGCAGAGTTGGGCGATAATTCACAAGTTCTGTCACATTACATACATTCAGTTATTTGATCCATTATTAACACAGAATATCGATAGAGCAGCTTTGAGTTCAGTTGTTTGAGAGTTCAGAGTTACATGATGCACTCAGCATATGCAAAAACATCTTTACCAGATAAATATCTTTATTTTATCAGCTCTGTGTAGTTTTCAGTGTCTGTTTCTCACCATCTGCATGTTTCCTCCGTTTGTTCTGTACCTGTCTGACTGTACGTTTCCACTTCTCTTTCATGGATTTCCTCCTCTTTTGTCTCATTTTTTTTCCCACCATGTATATTTTGTTCTTCCTCATTTTGTGTACAGTTAAGTCTCGCTGTCTCGTCCCTTCTCGCTCTCTCTAATCATGGGGTTCTCTCCCTTCTCTCTCATCTGAGAAGCTGCCTTCTCTTTCATTCCAATCTTCAGTGGAGAGACGATGCTCTTGCTCCAAATCCTTTCATTTGGAGGATTACTAAAGTGTGGCTTGATATCAGAGTGGAGGGAGGAGAGGGGAAGGAGGAGGAGGAGGAGGAGGAGGAAGAAGAAGAGGAGGAAGGGGGGAGACGGAGCAGAATCACAATCCAGAAGTATCACAACATTTTCACACGGCGCTGTAACGATAGCTCGGGTCATGATTTGATTGCACGTGCAGTAGAGTACATTGGATTAGATTTAGTTTTGTATTTTTTTTATGGATTCGGTGGCATTCAGCTCGAACGAATGAAACAAAATGTGCTCGACCAGATTCAAAATAATGTGCTACCTCATTATTTTGCTTCCTGCAGAAATCCCCCCCCGTCCGCATGGCTCTGAGAGAAAACTTGGCTTCAGATGTTTTTGTCTTTAAGATTAAATATTCATATGACACCAGTTTGGGCATCTTCAGCTCCTAAAGCTCATCTGTAATTGTTGTTTGATCAAATTTAACTTAGAAGGTTCTGATTCAGATGTTAGCTTCTGAACGGTGATTGAAATTACATCACCTATTTCAAAATGCCCACTAACGGTTCTAACTCTTGGACCTAATCACTCATAGTATAAAGCTGAAGAGACAGCAGTTTCAGCTTTGTCTTTGTGTGGTTATTGTTCTTATTTTGAAATTTAGGAAGCATCTACAGGAACCTTTCAACCTGCTAAAACAACAGTCAGGCATCAGTGAAATCGAGCAAAGTGTCGATTTGTTTGTGGTCTGTGTTTACCTCTCTGAGAGCTGGCATGTCCTTTCCCCCTGTCCCCACTAGAGGGAGACCCAGGCTCATTGGAGCGGCTCCGGGGGTCCCCAGCAGCCAAAATCCCCCCCAGCCCCGTTCCTCCAGCCCCAGAGCAGGTGCCCATGTCTGGGCCTGTCTGGCCCTTCACCCCCTTATCTGATTAATACTACTAATCCTGGAGGTGTTCCTGCCTGCCAGAGAGGCCGGCCACCAGACTGGCCACTTTCTTGCTCAGGGCGGCCAGGCCACGAGGCACGGTTACGGGTTGCTCTCTGCCAACATGGCCCCTTGGAGCTGAGGGGATGTTTGAGCTCCAGCTTAGTTTTCTGCTCCTATTTATCTACATCTTATGAAGGGAGCAGACTCATGTGTCCTGTACATTGTGCTGTTTTTATGCGCTGTCTATAATCCTCTGCATGTTTTCCAGCTATTCCTCTGGAGCATCACTACTACAATGAGAAACTCCAGTTCTCTGAAGGTAAGTTTCCAGCAGCGACTGAGACACTTTTGTTCCTCGTCTCCGCCCGTTTGTGTCTAACCAGCGGATGACCATCTTCCAGAAATCGCTGCCCGACTCAGTCAACTGTCCTACTTCCTCTGTTCGCTCCCTCTCCCTCCCTGCCGCCCTCCCTCTCCTTGCTTTTCACCCAGTAGTGGAATACAAACACCCTTATCAGGAGACGAACACTCATCCCCCTGCCCTCCCCTCCCTCCCCTCTCTCCTGACCCCCCCAACCCTCCACACCCTCATTTGCATGCATCTGTTTACCTCCTCTTCCCACTCAGTCTTAATAGAGAACCCCACTCCTTAATGGCTCGCTTCTGCAAAGATGAAAAGGGAAGACTGTAAAATAAACAGATAGGGGAGCGATTGCACTGAAAGCAGCAGTCCTCCCTTTTCCTTTTATTTTCCTCCCACCGAACTTCATGTATATGCGTGGGCAGAAGCAGATGCACAAATTCAATTAGCTGGGGGTTTTTTTCTTGTTTTTTTTTTTTTTTCCATATGCTTCCTTCCCTCTGTTTAACCACTAGAGATGGAAGAGGGGGGGAATGAACGGAGGGAAATTAAAATGAAGGGGCCTCAGTGTGGTACGTGTTCAGATATGTGCTGCTAACTGTGAGGTTGCATTTGGGAGATAACTCAAGTGCGCCGAAAGTTCTCACGATTAAATATTTGCTTCTCCTCGAGGATCAGGGTTTGTGGGTTTTGAAGGGACATTTTGCTTCCAGTGGAATATTTTGGTGAATGTAAATCATCTGAGTTTCTACATTTGTGCTGCTCGTGCTCACATTTAAACCTAAACATCTAATCTATGACCACTGCTTTATTCTTTGGAAATATGTTTTGATGATTTCTTTAAACTCACCCATAAATGCTTGAATAACCAGTTTGCTTCCATTAAGGTCTCTGGTTCAGTCACACCTTAAAGTGCCTCATATACATCCTCAATGGCTTTTTAATGCAACTCTGCACCCATTGTTTGTGTTTGTGCAGTTTTGTTTGTGTTTTTTGTTCAGTAATGTGCATTTTCAAAGGGGACGTGCATTGCAAACTTGTTTTTTGTGGTGCTTTGTGTCATTGGTTCATTAAATAAATACTCTCAGAACTTGGAAAGTTGCTTCAGCAGCTTCTCAGTTTTCTGACAGCGAAAAGCTGAGAAGCATAGAATTGACAGTGTAGTGCTGCAAATGGCATTCACTGAATTATATTTATTTTAATTTATTCGTCTTTGAATGGGTATAAATAGCTAAAAACATTACTGGAAATTTCCCACTGCTCAAGTTGCTTGTTTTATCTGCTGTGCAAAACCAAAATCTAATCACTGTGCATCAGTGTAAAAATGGAGAAGATCACTTTAGAGAAGAAGAAACCAGCTAATATTTGGCCATTTTGATGGATGAACGTATTTAATAAACAATTATCAGAATAATTTAAGAATTAAAATGTAATCTGCTCGTTTACTTTATTTGGGATTCATCAAGTTCATGACGGCTTATGAAGATATTTCAGATCATTGCATTTGCCTCATGTACCTGCATCTGTTTCCACCTGACCTTTCTTCCTCCTCTTATCTCTTTTCATTCTTAGATCTCAACCGAGATATAAAGTTCAAACCTTTTCCGGTTTTTGCTGCCACATTCTTCTAAATTCCCATGAGTGCTATTTTTATTTTTTTTATTTTTTTTTTTAGAAGAACAACTACTTCTTCTATGCGTGTGTTTAAAAGTTAAGTCACATGATCTCCAGATTCTTCTTGTGTTTTTCCTCCGTAGCTCGAGGCTATTCGTGGACCCCCAGGAACCGCCGACCAGAAAAGCTCCGCGATTCGCTGAAGGAGCTGGAGGTACCCGCCTCCTGTGTTCATCCCACCATCCCTCCCGGCCTCTCCCCCCCTCGTCTTCCTCCCTCTGGGGATTTTTGGAGTTTTCCCTTTCCGAAACGGCCGATTGATTAACAAATAGGGGCATTCTCTCTCCTTTCTCCCTCTCCCTTCACTCTCCCTGTCGTTGCCGTTTGTTCTCCTCTCTCCATCTCCTCTCTCATCACCTCTCTTTCGGCCGAGCTCTGTCATCGAGGGGGATATTTGAGGGGATCAGGGGGCTGCAGGCTGCCCCCTCATCCCTTCTCTTCCTCCCTCCTTCTTCTTTTTCCTCCTCCTTCTTCCCTCATTCGCCCCCTCTCTCTTCCCCTCTGTACTTGTGGCAGTACAGACCTAGCTTTGTTTGCTGGAACCTGTCTGTGGCTGCCACACACACACACACACACACGGACACACAAACACACACACACAACACACACACACCCCCCACCCACCCATCCACCCACCTCCCTCCTCTCACCCGTAACCATTGTCTGAAACTAGAAACACCCCAGCTCACCTCCACACCCGGCCCTCCTCCTCCGCCGTCCCTCTCTCCTCCCATCCAATCACCCCAGCTGGGTTAGGAATGTGGCAGGAATGACTGACCTTACACACACACACACACACACACACACACACAAGCCGCCGTTACCTGCATCCTCTTTTAACTCTCCCTGCAGTGACCACCTGTGGTCGCAAGTGTCTGTCACTGTGTTCTAACGAGACGAGTTTTTTCACGTCGGTTTCCTAATGTTCTCTTAGCTTGTTTCCATATTTAAACTCAAGTTGTTCTCAAAGCTGCATCAGGTCTGAGATCTGCCGCTTCCTCTCACCGTCTCTTTGTTCGTCCATCGCGCTCACGCAGGACCTATTGCAGACCAACACCTGCATCCACACCAGATGGAGGAACAAGCGCTGCTGCCAGGTACACGCCCTCCTCAGCCCGACACCGACTGTGTGCAAGCAGACCAGCACTTCAGGGCCTCACAGAGTTTCTCCCAACATCTTGTGCAATGTTAGCATAATTAGAACGTCCAGTGGATTGCACGCGTTACAGCCGTGTGACCAAAATTAGTTTAATTTTCTGTCCATTCTGTCCACTTATATGAGCATCAGGAAGGCACGCCCCAATCTTTAGGTTTATTTACTGCTGATTTTGTATTTCGTAATTCTCTTTCTCAATTTGTTTGTATTTTTATTCATTTTTAATGATCCTTATGTGCTGCTTTGCTTGTTTAAGTCTTTAAAAAAATTCTATTCAATTTAAGATCTCAAATAACAAAAAAATTATATATTAAATATCTATTATATATAAATATCTTTTTCCCTTTATTCTCACGTTACTGACCCACGTATACAAAATCTTCATTTTAGTGTATAATTAGTTTGTCTTGTCTTATTCTAGAGTAGTAATATTTATTTAACCAAACTTAACCTCAGAGGTAATTGAACAGCATCTAACTTTGTTATTCAAGTAAAATTGAGAACCTTCATTTTATTTATTTATTTATTTTTAAACTGTGTATAAAAATGAAATTAGTTTTTCTCTATAAACGATTGTCACAAATCACAAAATCTCCTCAAAGAGCATTAAAATATGTGCAGCATGTAAAGCAGCAGCCAAACTCTGGACAGACATCGTTCTGTACAGACAATTCAAACACCCACAGAAGCAACAGTTTTGAGGAGAGGAGACATTAACTTCTGTATCTCTGTAAGCTTTCTGTTATTTTGTGTCTGCAGCTGATGCTGAGCAGTGGTGTGCTGGTGACACTGACCCTAAATGGACCTCAGCTCGAACAAGTGTGTGTGGATCGTACGTTAGTGGGCCGACTCCCAGCCAACACCATGACTGATGGTGAGTTTCTGACATGACGGATCCTCGAGCCAGATACTCTGACCTCAGCATCACAACTACATGCCCTAACCTCATTCTAATCTCAGCCCTAAAACCAGGGTCTTACCTTCAAACTGCACTTTGAAGGGTTTTTTTTTTTCTAAAAAGTATTAGTATGCTTGTTCTGACATAGTTCTCACATGATCAGATGTTTGAGTTCCTTCAGCTTGAATCATGCACAATACCAACAAATAGGAAAGAAAAATTAACACTTTTCCAATTGAAGTCACATTTTTTTTTTCACATTTTTTCTCTCGTACATGCAAAGATGCCGTTGTTTCCTCTTTTTCTTTTTAGTGGTTTGCAAACAGCAGGTTTGTTTATTCACTCCATAGCAGTGGATGGAAACAAGCCTCATATGCACTTCCTCTTTTTACATTTTTCTGCAACTTTTCAAATCTGCAAATTTGCTTAGTGGTTAGATAGACATGTTGCTTTCCCTCCTCCCTTAATCTGACCCTAACATCATACATGCATAACCCTAAACCGAACCCTGAAACAAATTTCTAACCCTTCGAAGGTCAGAAAGTGAGGATCAGCAAAAACTTGCTCCCTGCCAAAATCTAAACCTCTCTGTAAGTGCACCACATAAATTCTAAATCACCAAAATCAAGGCCCACTTTAAATCACCTGCTTAGAGGAGATTTTTCAGCCTTAAGTTTACATTATAGGACATTTTGACAGTGGATTTGGGGTCTTTGCTGCTGATGCTAATTCGTGCCATTGAAGCCAACATGCTTTCTCCGGTATTGTGATTTCTGCATTCACTGAGCGAAATTACACGTGACTTAAATATTCCAGAGGTGCTCCGTGGTTTAGGCAGATTTAGGGACACAAACATCATTGTTTACACCTCAAGGCCTGACGACCTGTCTCTGCCCACAGCGACAAACAAACACAAAGCAAACACGGAGACATTTGCATTCAAATGTTCCGTATTTTAAAACCCGCAAAGCCACCCACCACACTGTCAGCACACACTGTTACACCTGCTCACCACACACACACACACACACACACACACACACACACACACACACACACACCTTCCTGTCACGCAAACACTCACATACATAACAGGTGCCACAGGTGAGCGAGGCGACTCTGCTAGCTAATTGCGGACAAATCCTTTTGTGCTGTGTGTGTCCAGGGGCCTTCCCTTAAGAGCATCCATCAGTGTTTTTTCCTCCATCGCGAGCTCCTCCAGGGAGCGCCGCCCCCCTCGCGCTGCGCTCCCTCGCTCGGCAGACCTGGCAGGAGAGAACAAGGGGCCGTGGACACCGGCCCAAATCTGCTAATTATTTCTTTCTTTCTGTATCAATTATTTGTTCATAACACCGCCCTCCCCACTTCCGCCCGGGGTCTCCAGACACTTGATAAAGCCCCCATAGTGCACACACACACACACACACACACACAAGCATGCACACTCCTGTCCTCACATGCATACATATGTAATTACAGACTTTTTTTTTTCTTTTCCTTTCCTGTATAGCGCAACAAACACTTACTGTATGACGCTCACATTTACACACATGCTGGCGTGCACACACTCCCAGGTACACATACACCCACTCACCTCCCGCTGCACTCCATTCAAAGCCTCAGAGGCACTAATTATTAGAGTAATGGTTGTGAGAGGGTGGGTTCCGGGGATTGTGTGTGTGTGTGTGTGTGTGTGTGTGTGTGTGTTTGTGGGGGGAGGTTGGGGTGGGAGGTGTAGGTTAGAGGTTCTCACATCTGCCACTTGTTAAATTAGTCTGAGACAATTAGAGCAGAGAGCCGGACCAGATCGCACTGCGCAACACTTTGACAATTACTGAAACAGTTTACAATCAAGTTGTGACTGGTGTGTGTGTGTGTTGTGACATATGACAGGTAGAATTTACTTTTTATTGTTTGTGTATTCAATTGCTGCAATGTCAAAGTGTGAAGATTATTATTATTATTATTATTTTCTCCTTTCCTAATGAGTCATCACATAAAAAGTATTGAACAACACTAAACAGACCCAACACACAACTTCCCAGAGCCAAACATAAAGTCCCTAAATTGTAAAAACCACATGTGTGAGGAGCTTTAACCAGCAATTATTTGGCTTTTTTTTTTTGCTTGAAAAATTGACTGAAACGCTTACTCAGTTATTAAAATAGTTGCTCATTCATTTTCTTTTCCCAAGCAATTAATTGGCTAAACATTGCGGCTCCAGTCGAATCTTAAATTAAACCGTAAGCCACTGTGTCATGACAGTGAATCCATTTCCATTGTCTGAACAGGATTTGACTACTTTGGAAAGCAAAAAATAAAGTTTTCAGGATTTGAATGCAGAAGAAAATCCCTTTTCTGATTTGCACGGATTCGGCTAAACGTGAGGCCTGGTTTGTTTTTGACACAAGAAGCATCTGCAGCCAGGTCTGTGGTTTTTTTTTTTGTCTCACAATGTGACTAATCAGGCTTACTGTCCTCTTAAACTTTGCGTCGTGAATGCCAGTTACCACAGTGTTCCTACCATGAGCTCCGATTGCATCATACCGAGCGGCAGATTACAAATATTTTACACCATCAAAGTATTACCAGCTTCCTTTGGCCGATGGCTGGGCCAAGCCGCGCATATGCTCCACGATTAAGCATCCTTAAGTGATTTTTCATAGCCGGTTTCATTTACCCATGTTTAAATGTGCTTTGGTTAAGCCCATTGGCCTCTTATGTCAACATGCTGCTGAGGAGATGGCATTAAATGGATTTAGAGGAGTTTGTGTGTGTGCGTGCGTTTTTGTCTGTGTGTATGTGTTGGGACCGTGTGCGTGCTTTAACATGTGGTAGCTTTATGCTCGTGTGTGTGTTTTTTGCATTTGTGTTGGTGTGTGTAAATGTGCATACATAAAACGTGGTTGCAGGCGTGCATGTATGAATGTATATGCAGCTGTTTTTGCATGTGTCTAGGGGGCTACATATGAATGTGTACATGTATGCGCTTTGTGTGTGTGTGTGTGTGTGTGTGTGTGTGTGTCTGTGGGGGTTTTTCAGGGTGGGTCATGAAGGTCTGGCCCTTAATGCCAAATCAGCCACCTGGTCCCAGATTGGGCCACAGCCTGGTTTCACATCCCCTCCTTCATTTGGAAATGAATGGGATTAATCTTAATCCCGTTTATAGACACCCATAGAGATCAATACTAAACTGCATTTAACTTGATTTGTCTGTAATCTATTACAAAGACGCTTACTATTGCATTAAACGTTGTTGCAGAAAGCTAAGGCATCGTTAATGGCTGTTTTTTTTTTTTTTTAAGCCTTGAACCAGTTTTTGTTACGAACGCTTTATAATCTATCTTCAACGTAGGGACCGACTGACTCAACTGACCTGATTTAAGATGCTAGTTTTTCCCGTATTTCCACCCAGTTCCTCTCTCTCTCCTCATGAATATTTGCATATTAATTTACAATTTTCACACAACAGGATGATTTGAAGTGTAATCATACCAATACCCGCACGTTTATAAATACACACATGCCACGGTTAATTGCCGGTTAGATTTCTAAATCTCGGGGTGCAGCCTTACTCGTTCAACTCAAAGCAGGATATCTAACAGACATATGTAAGTCCCCCCCCCTACACCCTACACACACACACACTCCTTTCCATTTAATTGGTTTCATAAACAGATTAATTTGAAGGAGAGGGGGGCTTAATTGCTAATCAGCGTTTCCATGCAGCTCCTGAAGAGTTGAACAGGATCAAGTGTGTTCTTCTACCACAAAAAAGGCCTTAGAGCCTTCAGTACGCTGACAGGAGGGGAAGAGAGAAGAGAACAGCAGAAGAAAGAGATACAAAGAACACAGAAGGCAGCGGAGAGGAGAGGAAGGGCTGCAGGAAGGTAGGGAAGGAGGTAAACTAGGCGGAAAGGAAAGAGAAGGAAGCAAGAGGTGAGGTAGAGGAGAGGGAGTAAAGTGAGACAAACTCTCCAAACTGATCAGTACAACGGGAGTGATGGTGAACGGTGATGACGAACTGAATAGAAGAGAACATTTAGAAAACAAAATTACAGTTTAACACAACATCTACAGGATTTAATGCAAACAGCAGAGGGAGGGTAGAGCTGGTTGTTCAGTACAGGCTGAACTTATAATTCGCCTTCTACAATATAGACGCTTCAAAAAACAGCACAACACCAAACAATATAGGAATTAGAACTTTAAACCTGGAGCTAGTCTGAACCTCTCAACCCCCAGACGTGGTGACAGGTTTGATTTTCTATCTTTCAACAGTCCTTGAAGAAATCAGGTGTGATGTCTGGTTCCATCAGGACTTTGACATGTACCAGCCACCTAAACCATGTTGCCTAAACCTGCCCCCTTTAATGCAGAACACATTGCAGCTGCTCAGGAACGGCTTGAGGAACACGACAAAGAGCTCAAAGCATCGACCCAATCTCCAAACTCCCTGGATCTCAGTCTGACCTAGCATCCACAGAAGTCACCAGAACAAACCTGGTCCCTAAAATCCTATAACTCATATCACCCAAAGGACCCACTGCCATGATTCTGGTGCCAGAAACCACATGTCCTGATTGGGTTGACGGCATGAGGGGAACCTGCACAATATTAGGCTGGTGGTTTTAATGTTGTCGCCCATTGGCAGGAATCCAGAAAGTCTGTTATGAAGTTAATTAAACCACTAGTTTGTCCCAGATTGGCCTCATTCAAACTGGAATCTGTCGGTGACGTTTTCTGTGGCCTCTGTGTGAGTTACGTCTCCCTTTGATGCAACTGAGATGCTTTCAGAATATAAAAACATCATGATTGTCTTTTATTCCTGATTTAACCACATCTTACCATGTGTCCTCATTTTTAATTTCCAAGTGAAAACTATAGCAGTCAGTGTGTGTGTTCATGTTTGGATGTGCAAGATAGAATAGTGCAAATCTAAAAGGTCGACCTCAACAGTTCGGAGTTGTTTTTGTGTTTTTTTGTTGTGAATCCTGACATTAACTGGTCGTCGCTGTCGTTCCCAGCGGTGCTGAGCGAGAGGCTGATTCTGCTGTCCTTCCTGGAGCAGAGCCAAGTGGCTGCAGTCTACCTGAACAGAAAGAACCAGGACTCCCCAGAGACTGGCAGGCGAACAGACAAACTCTCACCCTCTGAAATCAAGGTACAGTGGAGCTCATTGATGGAGTGTGTGCATGAGTAACGTGTGCGCTTAACTGTGCTTGTGTGCAAGAGAGAGAGAGGTATAAAGAAGAAGGACACCAAACGAAGGCACAGGCAAAAAAACAAAAGTGTTAACATGTCGTCCTGTGTGAGAGTCCGGCTTCTTTCTTCATCCAACCTGATGGGCAACATTTCCAAAATGTTTTTCTTGGATGAGTTTCACATTCATTCAGATACTTTTCCTGATTGAGATAAAGTAAAACCTGGAAACAGTTCATGTTCTTTCAGTCAGTGCCAGATAGGAATTTCCATTGTAAAAAAAAAAACTATGAAACTATTATTATAAAAAACCTTTCAGTCTGTTTGAGTTGAAGTTTAGCAGGTGCAGGAGCCTGCTGGGTGCTTGCTGTGTTATTGACCTTCTCCCTGTGACCGTCAGTGAGAGAGGGAAGGCTGCTCAGAGAATGGGCTGTAAAGAAAACTAGAGTCACTTCAGCATACATGCAAGCGAGTACTTTAACTACATCACTTTCTACTACTGGATGTAGGATGCAGGTGTAAGCCACCACTCATTTCACCGTTCTATCTCTGTGTTGCTGTTTTCTTGTTAAACAACAACCTCTGAAAATGTCAAGGTTTTTTGGGGTGAAATTATCAGTGCTCATTTTCCTGCATGCAAAAGTCCCACCACAATAATTCCACCCATCATTATTCTGAGTAAACACTGAAGCCACATCCTTCCCTCAGCCCTGCCCACGACGACTGTGATTGGTTGGAAGAAACACAAACAAACCAGAGTGTTTTTTTTCCCACATATAGCGAAATGATAACGAGGTGCAGCCTGACCATTATGTTCTACAAAATGACTACTTTTTTAACTCGTGTTATTTGCATGTAAACTTTACAGCAACCCCAAAAGACTGCTTAAATTTAGCGGGAATGTTGCTAACTGTTTAGCTATGTTTGTTTCCTATCTATTTGGTCTACTGCTAGAATAGAAGAGAATTATTTTATTGTCGTAGCACAGTGTACTATGAAATTAAGCATCAATCCTCTCAGTGCAATCACAAAATCAGGCAACATTTTTAAAAGTACAGTAGGAGATGTGCAATTATAAAATCAGTGGGATAGCCTATTCTTGTAAGGACAGCTTATTTGGTGTATAAAGAATTGTAAGAAAAGGTTTTTTTTTTAAGTACATACAAGGTGCAGTTATATATAAAATGTGTAGGTTCAGTAAAAACATACAAGATGCAAAAGGTAATAGGTGCAAAGGTGTAGATGGTTCTAGATTCTGTAGATGTAAAAGTAAATAGATTAAATTAAATTAAACTGAGTTGCTAGTTGCCACTCAGGTCCAACCAGTTGGTGTGAGTGTTTGGCAGAGCAGTCGTTATTTATTTAACTCCTGATTGGATCTGTAGGTCTGAATATAATATAATGGTCGTGGTAATGCAGCCTTTATGTTCAGACTGCGTCTCAGTCGCTGCGATTTTCCTGTTCCCGTCTATTAATCTCTTATACAAGCGTGTGTTGAGCCGAGTGTGATCTGGAGGTGTTTTTGTAGGTGTCAGTAAAAGGTCTGATTATGTGCGTCCCCGTTCTTCCCACAAAACAAAACTACACTGTGTCCTCCTTCACTAGCTGGCTAACTGCTAACCCTGGCATTATCACATTACTGCCAGGCCCTTTTGTTGAGGTGTGTGTGGGTGTGTGCGCGCGGCCATGTTGATGTGTGTGCGTGAAAGCAATCGTTCCTGCCGTGCGTCTGTCTCCAGAAGCACAGTCCTGATAAGACATCCCCCCCATCACTACCACCACTCCATATTGTACGCCCCGCACACCCTGTCAATGCACGCGCACGCGCACGCATGCAACCTGCAGCATACGCACACGTGTGCACGCCCCACAACCCATCCCCCACAACAAACACACACATGCACACACACGTACACATCGCCCTGGTCCAGTGGGCTAAGCTGGAGAAGGGAGAGTAGGGGGCGTTGAGGGGGGGGCTAAACTAATCCGGCCCACAGAAAGTGGTTTTTGATTATTGCTGACCAGCAAACGCCAGCAGAAAAAAAAACCTAGAAGAGCGAGGAGATGGGTAGGGATGGAGGGGGCATACAGGGGGTAGAGATAGAGTGTGTTATTAACCCAGTGATTTTCTGATTTTTTTTCTTCTTTTCCATTTCTAATCTGTCAGTGATCTCCCGTTCAGCTGTTTGGGGCAACTCTTTGTTCCCTTTATCATCAAATGTAGCTCCATCATTTTCAGGCGTATTCTGTGTCCAAAGCAAATTTCCCCCCCAAGGGGGCAACGAGGGCAGACATGGACCACTGAATCTCAAATCTACTCTACTCATACAGTACAGCTTGTCGATTTACTAATTTCCTCATGTCTCTGGACTTTGAGCCCATTTCTTTTTGTGCCGAGGCATGTTTTTATTAATTAATTTCTAAAGAGACACCCCTGCGTTGCTGACAACACGCCTATTTGGTGGGATTTCGGTGTCACAACTGACTGCTCTTTTCCTGTATATTTTGTTACAAACCTCTCATTGATCTATTGCGAAAATTCCAATTATTTTTTTTTTTCCTTTTTATGTGTGCATTTTGTTTTGTCCTTCCTTCCTTCATTCATTCATTCATTTATTAATCCAACCATGTTTTATTCCTTTATTCCCATTTCCCTGAAGCTGCGGTGCATAAAAGCAGCCACCACCTCTTTTTCCCCTCTTCCTTACTCGTCTTTCCAAACCCAAACAATCAGCTTTTTTCTTCATTATCGCCCTTTATTCTTCTCTCTTCTGCCTCCTTCACCTCTGTCCTCCCTCTATCTGCCACTCCTCTGCACCGCGACGGAGGTCACGGACGTGAGAGTGTGTGTGGTAATGTGTGCATGTTAGCCATCGACTCTGGTTCATTGTGTTAGTGAGTGTGACTGGAGATAAAGAGTGTGTGAATATGTGTGTGTGTGTGTGTAGGGAATGAGCTGCGGTGTACATGAAAGGCAGGGTCACAGTGTAAGACCCGCAATTTCACCTGCTTTAAAAGTGCTTCTGAGCAGAGCGCTGTTTGTCTAACGGTGTGTGTGAGCCTATAAAACTGTGCTTACACACACTTTCATATCCTTTGCATGTATGTACACGTGTGTTTGTGTACATACATGCACGTGTTCATGCGTGTGTGTCTGTCCGTGTGAGCGTGTACCCCCCCAAGCGCCACGAGAGCTCATTACTGTGCGTCTCTTTGTTGTGGCCCGTAGAGCGTGGCGAACCTTCCCAAAAATATGCACATCACTAAAACAACAAGCCCGACAGAACAAAACGCACACAGACATTAATAATGGAAGATAAAAAACAACCTCAGACATCAACAAAAACAGGAATCGGGGAAGGACAGCAGAGATATCTGGGGCTACAGATGTGCAAGTGTCAGAGCCCTCAGGTGTTCAAACAGGCCAGGAAGGTGAATCCAAATTGATGAATCACTAAGATGCTAACTTGCCCTTCTTCAGAAGATGTGTATTAACGCTGTAGGATCTCTGTTTTCCGACCGTTCCGACTCTTCCTCAGTGCGCGATCGTCCTCTTTTCGTGTGTTTCTGCGTCCAGGTGATGTCCGTGGAGGTGGGCGGACGAGGTCGAAGACTCCACAGACACGTGAGCCTCAACCGTCTCCAGGACGTGGCGCTCTGCTGGTGGAACCTGGACGAACCCGGTGAGGAGCCGTGGCCCTGGACTCCCACCAACACGCAGAGGAACAACCTGGCTCTGCTCAGCTGCTCTCCTACCGAAGGCCTCAAGGTGCACAAACACGTACACACAGCGCCTATAAAAATAGTCACTGGACGTTTGCTCCTCTTGATGCATTTTAAACTTTGAGGCAATTTAAGTTGGTTTTCTTAAAGAATTTGGGGGAAAAAAAGACAAGTAAGTAATTAAAAATATTAACTGTAACATGAGTACGTGCATAAGTATTCATCTGTTTAAAAGTGGCTCATTCAGTTCACTACAGGGCAGCCAATCGGTGCTAGAAGTCACACAATTAGTGAAACGGAGACGATCTGAGTGCAGTGAATGTGTCTCTAGTGACTGTCTATAAGAACACCTGTATCTGGACCGTTCAGTCACTGGTGACTCAGGACTCCTGGTTATAAATACACCACAAAGACAAATAAATTATATTTTCTCACACACGACACACACAAAGCTTGTACATAATTCTTACTAAAACATAGAAGCTTCAACCTTTTGTTAGTTTTTTTAGAAGGTAAATTCAGCAGAAGCACCAAAATGAAAGTACAGCAGAACAGCACAAACCAACAATCAAACAAAGTCTGATCCAAAGACAAGATGAATAAATGGAACCACACTTCTAAAGATTAAATTAAGTCACCGATGCTCTGGATCTAAGGATAAGAGTAGCAGAAAAGGTTGCTGGATAAGAGTGTGTTTGTCACTTGGTGAGGTGGTTGTTGACTTTAGAAAGGTTTATAACCTCATGATGGCCAGGATTCTTGTGGGGTTACTGCGGGAATATCAGGTGGCAGAGTTCCTGTAAGCCAGGAGCAAGAGCTGTGTCTGTATCCTCAGCTATAAATGAAGAAAATGGTGGATTGCTCCCTTGGCTGTTTTGGTAGCGAGTTACTTCCCTTAGTGGAGTAATTCAAGTATCTCTCACTCAGGCGACTGGCTGTAAGATGGAGCAAGAGATGGACACGGCAGGTGGGTTGGTGCAGTGATTGCACTGACTTTGGTACAGTAGCAAGCAAAGGAAACTTAGTCAGAGGAAAAGCTCTCAGTTTCCCGTCGACCTGTGATTTGTTTTAACCTTCAGGTGGTGGTGTGACTTCTAGGGAGAGACCGAATGAGTAAAGCAGCCAAAATCTGTTTTCCACAAAGTGTCTGAGCGTCCAGAAGGAGTTGTTTCTTCTTGATCAGGATTCCTCCTAGACTCCTCTTCTGGAATTAGTTCTAGCACTTCCAAATGAGATCCCATGATGGACTCAAATCACACTGTAGGGATTATATATCCCATCTGGCCTGGGAACGCCGTGAGATCTCCCAGGATCTGCAGCACAGGGCTGCTTAGTCTGAGCTAGTGCCACAGAGAAGTGGATAAAACGCACAAACCACAGGGAGGGGATGAGTGTGGAATTATTAGAGCATCGTTGAAATGTGTTGAGTTGTTGCCTTTGTGTGTTGTTTAAAGTTTAGCGCTGATTAAGTTGATTAACTGCAACTAATAAATTAATCAGCAGTTATTTGGACAGCTGATGCATCTTTTTTTAAGGGGAAAAAAGTCTAAGTTCTCTGATTGCAGGTACTTAAATGTGAATATTCTCTGATTTCTTTACTCTTCGATGACAGTAAGATGAATATTTTTAGGTAGGTAGGTGATTATGCCGTGTTTTTACTTTAGGAAACAGAATTTATTTTTTATTTTTGTCCGGAAAACAATCAACAAGATATTCAACAATAAAAATACACATTAGTTTTAGCCTACCTGTTCAGCACAATAGGAGCTTTTTCTTCAAAACTTTTTAATAATTTGGCTCATTTAGGAATTTAAAGGATACAGTAGCACATGTTGGAAGTGACGCCAGCTGTAATCATGGAATTGATTTTCTCTTTTCTTGACTTAAGTACAACGTTCACCTGCTTGGTGCACTTTGAATCACCTTAAGTGGCTCAAATTTAACAGACATGGATTATCGTTTGCACAAAACACGTTAAATTTAGCTTTTCTTTATTTACTGAGGACAAGCTAAACTAAATCTAAACACAATAATCTAGCAAATAATTAAATATTGAGCTCCTGCGTCAAACATTCTTAACTTTTCGGGTTTATTAATCCCCTTCCAGTAACATACATCATAACTCCAGCTATATATTATTTTTTTTACACTCTCTCTCAGGCACACACACTTACCAGACACATAGTGAGAGAAGCGACAAAGCTGCTGATCTGAGAAGAGACCTGTGTTGTCATGGATGGGATTGGGGATGGTGTGTTAGTCACCTCAAGGGTGGTACCTCTGTGTTGCACCTCCATGCATCACCATATGAAATAAGCGGGAGAGCTAAGCTGTGGTACAGCGTGAAGGAGAACGCCTACACACCCACTCTCACACATGCAGGCTGAGACGCACATCCTCGTGGCCTCTGGCAAAAACCCTACCCATGACCCGATTCTGTGTCAATGTAGGATTGGCCTCGTGCCGAAACGCAGATGAAAGATCCCAAATTACCGAACCGAGCTTAACTCCACTCCTCGTACCGCGTACCTCGGTAAGCGTATGCAAAATACTCACCACACCAGAGAGGGAGAAGTCTGCGAGAGGGAGGAAAGATGAGCGTTACCAATCGCATGCTAGGGAAACAAATTCACGCAGCAGAGAATGAGGGAGGGATTGGAGGTGGGGGGGCACATGAATATTGAAATAATCAAAGCAGATGCTGTTTGCTGCTTTTTTCTGCTTCTTGTTTTTGGAACGCTCTCCACATTTATCACACTCCTTCACCTAGTTTATTCTCTCTGTCTCTTTCCACACCCCACCACCACCACCACCACCACCGTCCTCCTTCTCCTCCTTCCTTCCTCCTCGCTTCAAGAACATTAAAGTCTCTTCGTGGGGCTGCGGCATCGCGCTCTAATGAAAGCGTTTGTTGTCATTTTTCAGATGCGCGGTGTGAAATTAAGCGAGCAGTTTATGTAAGAGCCGTAGCGGGAATCAAACGCCGGGCACCCATCGGGCGACGCCAGCTACTTCAATCACTTCAAGCTCATATATATGTTCCTTTTGTTCAGTTCGCTATCTGCCGCACTAAGCCAATTTTCTAGCCAGTCTCTCGGCATTTAAAAAAGTCTGATTTCTTTCCCTATGTGGTCTTAATTCGCATGCCCCCCCCTCTCCCCTCCCCTCCTCATGCTGATAAGTGGAGCCACGGCACGCAAACGAGGGGGGAGGCAAACATACACAGTTAGTTTTATGCAGCCGGTTAACATTTTTAATGATCCTTCCTTCATGCTTCCCTCCTTCACTCCCCCACCCAGCAAACAAACACAAGCCATTCCCTGGAATTTAATAATCTTAATGAAAAGGAAACACCAGATGAATGTTTGTTTGTTTCTTCATGTTAAGTCTCTTTAGCTGTTTGTGAACATACTTTTTTCTGTTGTTGTTTTTATTTTTTTTAACCATATGACTGTCCTGTTATCTGTCACCAGACAGTTTGTCTGCAGCTTTTTGATCTGCATTTGTGTCATTGCTGCTGTCTTTTGATTATTATTGACTCAAGAATAAAGCAAGAGTATATAATTGAAATGAAATAATCTATAATCTGTTCTGCATTTGTTCCTATGATTAGGGGAGGTTTTGAAGCTACGTTAATGGTGTAAAATGGCTGAATTGGCTTCTCAAACGTACACATTTCGAGTCTTTACGTGGAGAATTAAAGCATATACAGTAGAAAGCACATTTCAGCAGAGCACTGCAGAATAATTTGGACCACGAGAGGGTCGATGTGTGGAATCCAAAGTGCAGAATTACCCCTCGAGCTCCACTGCTTTTTAAAAACCGCACAGGAAAAAACACTGCCTGTACAGAATAATATTCCCTCCCTCCCAGAATTATGTTTAGTGGCAGCAGTTATGACCGCTAAGGTGTGAGGAAGATTTGGGTTTGTAATCCCGCTGTGCCGGTGCATTTTCTCACATCAGTACTTCAACTCTAACCCTAATTCACATACCTAAAACTTCCCCGGTCCCACCCGGCCAACCCCTCACCACCACCACCGCCACCTCCTCCTCATCCTCCTCCTCCTCCTCCTCCACAGCACCCCTCATCCCTCGACTCTCCTCCAAGTCCCTCCGTCTCTCTCTATCCGTCTCTCCCTGTCTTTCTCTGCTCCGTGAGCTGGAAAATTGGCTTCAAAAGGCCACTGCTGTGAACAAGGGCCAGCCACACAGTTGGGCCCGTCCGCTTTATCTTTCACGCCACGGAGGGGGAGAAAAGGTGCCGGTGAGAGAGAGAGAGGAGAAGAATGGCGAAGAATAGTTTTGACCAGTCACTGAAACCAATAACCAGGAGAAAGCTACTTACTAGAGGTCCTCTCTCTCTCTGTCTGTCTGTCTGTCTCCCTCTCTCTCCTCGTCTCTGCTCTCTTTGCATCTTTCTCTTCATGTCTCCACTTTCTTTCCCTCTGCTCTCCGTCCCTTTTATTCTTTTCCATTTCCTCTCTTTCTTATCATCGTCTGTGCATATTTCTGTCTGTCTGCATCCTTTTCTTTCCGTCTGTCTTTTGTACATCCCTTCACTCACTTGCTCTCTCCCTCGCTTGACCTTATTCGTCATTCGTTTTTTATTTTGCGCTCTCAGATTTAGGGAATACCGTACGTTCACATGCCACAGTACGCTTTGGGGAGTTCTCAGGCAAACAAAGCTTTATGTGTATTTTACAATGACGCATGTACGCTGTGTTACAGAAGTCTTTCCTGCTGTTGTTTTGGCTTATAAATTCTGTCGAGTTTCTAAAATGGAGTGCAAATGAGTGTTTTTGTGACACGTCGTAGTCAAACTACGCTCCAAAGAAATCACACAAGTAACTGCATGTTTAAGATCTTAATGCAGAAATCATACAGTCAGCTGCAGCTAATCTGTGTCATCATTTGTCAGATTTTAACAGCAACACGAGTGTTTGCAGTTTCAGAGTTTACGGCTCCAAAAAGATTCAAAACCCGCAACCCTGCAAGTTCTGAGTCGGCTTTAATCTCCTAATCAGCTGTGTTGCCTTCAGGGGCCTGCCTCAGCTCACACCACACAGAATAAAAAAAAGAGTGTGGCTTTAGAGATGACCAAAATTCAAAAAGCCAACCTGGTGGCTGTAAATGTGAGAAAACGCTGTCGTCGCTGAGTGCATTCTGCGTTGAATGTCTGAACTGTTGCACTCAAATCGGGCACATGTTGAGGAAAACAAAGGCAAAGTTATTACATCTGCGCTAAGTGCAAAGCTCCAGTCAAAGAACTTGTGTCCTCTCAAAACCAAAACCAAGCGAAATGTTAGAATTTTGTGCATAAGCCTAATTTATAAATCACTTGTTTATGAAGCACCTTTCAGAGCGACCGTTGCAAAGTGTCTTATAAACACAGAATATAGAAAATTAAAATTAAAATACAACTGTGAATTAATAATCAAGTGCTGCTTATTGAAAAATAGTGTTTTTAAAGTGACTCAGCTGAATAGTGTCATCGAGGTGGTCAGTATTCATTATAAAAATCTAAAATACATGACAAAGCAAAGTTATAAAGACATTTTCATTCCTAATAGGACGTTGAACTGACCTGGAAGCTACTGTAATGAATGACTTTATATTTCGTGCTGTCTTCATATACTTCATTATGTCTTCATGAAATATTGATTATATGAGCAGAGAGCCTCATAGATTCATAAACTGTCAGTCTAGCTGTAAATCAACTGTATAATAGACTGTATGTACACACAAGTCGATGCGCTGATGTTTGAGGCCTATTATTTGAAGTATTGAGCCGTCTCGCCGGAAAATCGATGTTATTGATTGAGTGTGAAAATAAGCAAATGTCATTAAATTTATCTGATTTCTACTGTAAGATTGACTAATTGTAGTCAACCTATGGCATGACATGAGTGAACTGAGCTGTGAACACGAGTCGAGCGTGATGTAGGTTGAATGTGCGTTCGTTCTCCCGCAGCATACGTCGTTTTTGAGCGTGAGTCCAAAACTCCTGGAAACTTTGGCTACTGCTGATGGTACCAGTCCAGGCAGTGCTTGCTTGTTGCCTCTGAACTTTAGCTGACGCTGTGCCTCTTTTCCTTCTCTTGGAGGGTCACCTGTCAGGGGCCACAGAGCTGAATCAGCTGCACCTCATCCCCCCCCCCTCGACGGTGCCATGATCGTATGCTGGCACAGCGGGCAGCGGGCACTAGCAAACCGGGCACGGGATGAAAAGCTGAGAGGATGAGATGTGGTTGGGGAGGGTCAGGGTTTGTGGCATCGAAGTGGGTCTTGTGATTCCTGTGACAGCATTCTGCGGGATGGACCCTCGCCCGCTATGTGTTTGTGCGCTAGTCTATTTAATGCATGTGTCACTTTGTCCCTGCCGAAATGTAGAACTGCACCCTCCCAAGGATACGCCACCTTTTACATGAATTGAGCCCCTCTTGCCTGCTGCCTCAAATAAACACACACATTCACACGCAGCACCCACCCCCCGGGGAGCAGCAGGAGCTAGCTCTGGGGGATTATAGAGAGGAAAAAAGCTTTCAGGAGGACAGTCATCTGCTTCTCTCCTGCTGTAGACCATGGGCAGGCAGGAAAAAAAAAAAAAAACACGAAAAAAAAAACTGCCTTCCTCCCTCTAAGTCCCTTTTTGGCAATGCCTGCCAAAAAACTGGGCCGAGCAGCTTTGCAAAAGGAAAGGAAGGCAGGCAAGCAGCCGATCCCTCTTTCTGTCTACACGGCGAAAAGAAATGGGCTCATTTAGCCAAAGCTGCCACGGTCAATGCAGGGCTCTGATAGAGGCTTTGGTAAGGTGAAATCCCTCCTAAAAAGCTCTGTTAGTGACTGTGGAAGTGTTGGGCTGCTGTTTAGTACAGCCTGTTGTCTCCTGTCATCCACCTACTGTTCTTGGTTCCTGGTGGGTGTTTATCGACAGCGCCACCCGTGACATGGCCTATCTCCCTCCATGTCATCGCTTGTTCTCTTAGCAGGACCATTGTGCCCACTCCTACCGACTGGCTGTGGGCGACCAGCAAATAATCTGCATTCTAGATTTGACCACTGCTCAAATAATCCCCCAGATTTCTTCGTATGTGATCTGAAAAAGGCTCGTTTCTTGTCGTTTGCTGTGTCTTGCGTTGAGCTCTTGGCTCCTCACTCAGGTAAACAGAGGAGGTTGTTTATCGGCGGGTGCCAAGCCGTGGCATGCTCAGGGAGAAGATGTTGTTGACCTTGAGTTAAAACGGAGCTCTTATCATTAGCTGTCTTGATTGACAGCCGGGTGTTTATGAGCAGTGTGGAAGTCTCTATTTCTTCCATCTCCGGGGGGTTTGGGGCTGCTGCCATGGTATGACTAATTTCTCTGTCTCCGTCTTTCTCTCGCCTGCTCTGTCTTTGTCTGCTTTCTTATCCTTCTTTTATTCAAAAGTAGGTTTATTCATTAACAGTGCTGGGCAAAGCAACGTCTTTTAGCTCAGAAGTAGAAGAACATGTTGGTGACGGTATCCACTCTCTAAACACTCCAGTATCAAGAAGGAACTTTAGTCGCTCAGTAACTGAAGGTGGATCTCCACAGAAGCGAAAACAGAACAGTCAGAACACATGGACTTCATCTAAGTTTGATATATGTATTGGGTGGAAGTGAAAGAAATGTTTTTTCCATCTTCACAAAAGGAAGTTTACCTTAATTTTCCTCAACAAAGACCCTTGAATCTTTCTTTGACATGTTAACGTTTGCAAATTAACATCAAACATGAGGGAAAGATGAGGCAGATGAGAATGACAGTACGGGACAAATGATCGTACCAGTTAAAATAAGTCAGAAGAGGTTATTACAGTTTATTCTGAAGAGATGTAAATGGCCTTATTGGTTGTTGAGATGTTTCATTCCAAAACACATCATGTCTCCATCGTGGGGGCACTAAAGGAAAAGTCAGGGGATCAACAAAGTCATGAAGATTCCTGTCCTCTATACAGCATGGATATCTGTTCCACATTTCATCAGAACCTGTTCTTTTTGAAGGTTTTTCCATACCGGGAGTTTGACGTGGTGGTTTGGTGCTTGACAGTAAATGCTAACAAGTAGAGAAAAGCAAGTGTTGTAAGTCAACAGACAGAAAGTGTTCCAAGACAAACAAGGACAAATAAACAGCAAGTGGAGGAAATCCAGGGCACTTTAAATGATAATAAAGAGTAAAAGAATGTGCAGATTTTTCCCTGCAGGCCACAAAATAAGATAAAACAGAGAGCACAGGGGCAGACATCCATGGTGCCATGTTGGATCTCAGGACTGTGTAAGATTTTCAGTCTGGACCATGGTGATGGCACTGCTGTTCCTAAAACCATGATGCTAGTATGCAAAGAAATGCCTCATCGTTACTAGTCTGACCCTAATGTAGAAGTTAAGAAAGTTATTTCCAAGCTTTACAAACTGGTTGGATGGATTTAAACATCCTCAGTGAGAATCTTCTGCTACTACCCAGAAAAGAGTGTTGTTGTGGGTGAGATTCATGGGGACGAGGTTCAGGTGTATCAGGTGAACTGCCTAACTTCTCTGAATCATTCTCTCTTCTCTACTTTTACTCCCTCAGGTCCTCAGCTCTGTCCGGACTGAAGGTCACCCCCTGGATTGCCGCTTCAGCCTGCTGCAGCCCTACCAGGTGCTGACCGTAGAACTACCTGCAGGACCTCCAGGATCCAGAGAAGGTTCCTGGGCCGACACCTGCACGTACGAATGTTCACGAGGACGTCTGCACCGCCTGTCCGTCACCCGCATCCCGCTCCCATCCCGCCCCATCTCCTGCTCCCGTCACCCCTCCGAGACCACGCTGCTCCTGGGCTTAAGCGACTCCTCCTTAGTCCTTTACGACCAGCGGCGGGGGGTCTCTCTCCTGGCCTCCTGCCCCGTGCCGCCCACCCTCCTCGCCTGGCACCCCGCTGGGGCTGTTGTCGTGGTGGGAGGGGGGCAGGAGGAGCTGATGTGCTTTGATGTGGGCTTGGCACCTGTGAGCGTGGCTCTGGTAGCCGAGGAGGTAGCTTCAGCTGCCACGTTAAGACTAGCTCAGCACCTGCGCTGCTCTGGAGGCCTGGCGGGACTGCAGTGGGGGAGTGGCCTGGACGGAGGCCCAGACGGGACAGATATGCTGACACTGGCCTTCCATGGGGGACCGCTAGCTGCCTTGAGATTCAGACTGGGTACGTACAATAAGTTCCACTGCAAAAACAATGACTGAAATCTCACTAACATCAAAATATACGTGAATAATTGTGCAATAGAAACCAAAATCCATCATTAGACATGCAACCACCACTTATTTCCTTCATTAATGAATCTGTTATTACTTCCATGATTGGCTCACTTCATAAGAAAAAGCCCAAAACAAGTTCCTTAATTCCAAGATGATGTCTTCAGATTGTAATCAACAGTTCAAAACCCAAGATGTTAAATTTGCAGCAACATAAATCAGAAAAAAAATAGAAAATCATCACATTTAAGAAGCAGGATGCAAATATTTGGCATCAAAATTATACAATTTGTTGTCCACAAAGCACTAGAAGCCACAAACCCACAAAAAAATGTGAGTTTTCCTTCACATGATTAGAGAAAGTTCCAACATGAAAGGTACAAAATGGTGTGTAGACATTAACCAAAAGTGAATGATGCTCAAAATGTAACCACATCTCCTGCTTATAGGTGCCCTCAAATTCAAACGAAACCTTCGCCCAGGCTTCTGAATAGAGAACAACTTACAGGCCTTCCTCACCTCCTCCTCCTCCTCCCTTCAGAGGCTCCTCCTCTGTTTTGGGTTTGACACTGTGCCTGAACCCGGCTGTGTAAATGTGGCTGCTGAGCGGGTCGTCCTGGTACCTCTTCACTGCTGAGGGAAGTTAATTTGTTGACGGGCGGGAAGGTTAGCAGGAGTCACGCTCTCAGAGGTCATTCAATAATCGCCCCGGGGCACGAGCCCCCCAGGTGCATTCTGGGATGCATTTTTCCGATAAATCGTTTACAGTGGCTGCGCAGTCCCTCGGGGCCCCCAGATAAAGTTTGCCAATCAAAATTTTTCCGAAGCAGCCACCTCACCCTCGAACGCTCGCACACACACACTCACACGTGCACACATTCGGCATCTTTAATTGTGACTTTGGAAAGAAGATGTGACAGTGGCACGCAACTCTCTGCTGAAGTTTGAAAGCAGGAGTGTGGAGGTGGAGGGAGGGAGGGAGGAAGGTAGAAGATGTGTGCGTTTGTGTGTGTTTGACAGTGTGTATTCGGCTGCCTGTGTGCACAGCGAAAGGGGAGGGTGTCTTCCAACAATAGCTTTCCTTCCTCTGATCGCCTGCCAAGGTTTTGATGAAGAAAGTCACTGCACGTCTTTTCTCCATGATAATTCTTCCCCCCACACACACGTGTGTGTATTCTTCTATTTCTGTGCTTCTATGCACGCACGCGCACACACACACACACACACACACACACACACACTCTCCAACTCATTTGTTTGTTTGCTTGCGCTCCTTCTCTGTATTGACTTGTTTCATAAGGCCCGCTACATGACAGAAGGAGTGAGTCGGGAGGCGGCGAGGAAGAAAGACTTGGCCGAGCTCCAGCTTCTCTCTTTTCCATAGGAGGCAGCTCTCCCTGGTGCCCCCCCGCCCCCACCCCCCTGCCTGCACCGAGTTATCTCATCTGGGCACACGTTGGCCGCGGCTGGGCCGGCACCGGTGCAGGCTGTGGAGGGGCAGACCGGGGAATGTGCTGCACGGCACGCAAGGAAAATAGCCTTTTTTAGCAGCGATGGGAATGTAGTGAAATATTACTGATGTTTAAGGCGTAATTATGTAACCGCTTGTGCAGCTGGTGTAGAATAAATAAAGAGAACACAAGCTGGTGCATATTTATTTGACAGTAGAAAATAAAGCACCTGGACAAGTCGTCTACTGCACGAGCTAGTTAGTCTGAATCTAATGATGCATATCAAAATGAACATGTAGTGTCATCCTGAACTTTTAAGCTGGATTCATGGTGTGGTCCAAACTGCAGCTCAGATGGTAGCGTTGGAAACCCCCTGCACCTTTCCAGCGTTTGATACGGGATGCCAGTGTCATCCATTATCTGTAACCTTGGACAGGTGAGGTGAGAGAGGAGCCGGGCATCGTGCTTCTCATTCCACTTCGTTTTTTTGGTTTTTTTCATTTGTTACTCAGCTGTTTTTGCCTGTTTTCACAAGTACAACACAATGCAGCATTATCAGTGTTTTCCAGGAGGAACTGGTAAATATTATCCCAGTTTTTGGTGAGATATCAACCAATCAGTTCAACCAAGAGGCCGTAACCTGCTGCCTAGACATTGGACATTTCTCAAAACTGATTCTAACATAATTTACTGAATGATTGACCAAATTACAACAGCTTTAACTATGTTTTTTTTTCACATTTTGGAATATTGTATTGCTCAGCTTTAGTCATGATCATGCTCTGAGTTGTGTTAATTCACTCTGCGTGTCCTCATTCGTCGCTGCTGTTTGTTCACGCCGCCGCTGATCCCGTCCCGCTCGTCGTCGTTTCGTGTCCGACACAGTGAGCTTGAGCCGAGCTGATCAAATAAGTTGGTGTGGACAGGTGTGGGAGAGAACCGACTTGTCCTTGACGCCTCAATGATCCATTGTCTCTGCTCGGCGTTAGCTTAGCGTCAACGCCCAACTCAAAGACTCCTACGCACAGCGACACACATACAGTACCCAAAAAAAACACACACACACACACACACACACGAGCCACTCAGCTGATGTATTAGCCACATTAGCCCACTCTTTAGGGGATTTGGGGGTTTGCTAATTGCCAGCTTGTCATTTTAATTGCTCGTACCACCACCAACCCCCCACCCCACCCACACACACACACACACACACACACACACACACACACAGATAGACACACAACTTCTTCAATTAATTAGACAAGAGTCAGTAGTGACTTTGCCTGCCTGCAGTCTGGCCCTACCGACAGGACTGCTGTCAGGGATCACCTACACTGTGCAGAGCTGTGCCACTAGCCATGTCCACAGTTCGTTTAGGAAACACACAGGCTTAACTACATCACCGAAGAATATTATACACCGATCGGCCACAACATTAAAACCACCTGCAGGCAGAAAAGGCTCTGATCTGATCTGGGAATGGACGTGAGATGCAGCTCCGTGGATTGGGCTTGTTCCGGCACATCTCGCAGCTGCTTGATCGGATTGAGATCTGGGGACTTTGGAGGCCACGTTAGCACTTTGGGCTCTTTGTCAAGTTCCTTAAAACACTCCTGAGTAGATTTTTGCGGCGAGGCTCGGTACATTGTCCTGCTGGGGGAAGCTGCTGCAATTTAGGAGTTGCCATGTGGGGGGTGTGATTAGTTTGCAACAGCCTGCATGTGGATGGGTTGTGTCTAGGTAGCATCCACATGAATGCTAGTTAGCAAGGTTTCCCATCAGAACAGTGCATTGTAATGAGATCGATCGATAGTCAATGTACAGGTATATCCAAAGGTTGAATTTACAGCCTGGACACGCCCATCAACATAGTCTTCAGTCATGGCAACTAGCAGTTTGAGTTTAGCATACATCAGCCCTGCCCAAAACAAGTCTGAGATTCCTCCACGTGTTGTTCTATGCATCTTTGTGTTTAAGCCACAATAGACCATAATTACCACTGGCATCCAACACCTGCACTTCCCGTATGAGCCACTCTGTAAAGTCACAAACGCTTCCTTTGCCCTTTTACTCACAGAACAAGACACCTCTACTACCGGGAAGGCCACAAAACCTCGTCCTTCCATTATTCAGCGTCCTAATCTGCTCACACGCACACGCCAACAAAAGCACCATCAGTCACCTGTGGTCAGAAGGCATAATCAGCTGTAGCGTCGCTCAGATGACCTCAGGTGTCGCAGAAGATCGCCCGCCTCCGCTACATATACTGTATATCTGAATAATATTTAGGCAAATTACTTCAAGATAAGAAGACATACGGTCTGCTCGGTGTTTTCCCAGCGTATGTAAATAGATGCTGATGAGGAGAAGCTTGTTTTTATTTTGCATTTACACACAGACGCTGACACACAAAGTGCACACCGAGGATTGAACGGACTCGGCTAATTGATTGACAAGTCAATGCCAGTCTAACTAATCTAGTGCTGCCTCGGAGTTTAAACTGATCCACTGGACACTCACTTAAGTTCAGTAAGTGCTCCGGGTTATTCTGCATGCTCAACCAAGTGCCTGAAGAGAATTCTCCTTTTTTAACATATATGAAGGAAAATATCAAGAGCTGTGGTTGCAATTTTTGAATATTTAAACATTTGTGAGACGATGAGGTCACTGCTCTATCATCCAAACCTTGACATCTGTTAGAAAAATACACCAAAAAGGCATTACAGTACAGTGAGGACAGTAAAACAGTTTAAAAAATGATAAAAGTGAAATTTTAAAAACACATAAGAGATGTTAGTGATAGGTTGTGACATGGATGGACGGACAAAACCTGAAACAATTCTACCAGATTTGTTTTAAAGTTGGATAGAAATTTAAATCTCAAATTGTCTTTTTGTTCCTCCTTTTGTTGATGAAGATGACAAAGTTCTCCTTTTTTTTTGCTGTGTATTGTTTTTGGAATAATAATAAGAAATAAAAAATTAATAAGAATAACAGAAAAGTCTAAATTAATGTTACACTGTTAAAAAAAATTAAAGTAAAAAAAAAGAAGTAAAAATCCAAACATCAGGCAGCAAAGGTGCCAGAAAAAATATGTAATAAACTGTTGAGTACTGCAAAGTTCCAAAACTACAACAACAACAACATATATAAACTAAAAGCAACGAAAAATAGTGACAAATATCTGAAATTTGGATTTTTTTAAGCAGTTTTAAACACAGCAGAACTGTCATTTTACTGTCACACTACAACAACAAGTTGCTGTTTGTGAAAATGCAGATTTTTGACGTGGACGTTATGCTCAGTTTTGGGCTGTTGGACGATTTTATGGTCAAATATTGTAAAAGAAAGAATTCCCATTTCTAAAGATACAAAAAAAAATGTCTGGGCACAGTTTTGATTTGTTTTTTTCACAATTAACATTAAAAAAATGTACTTTTTTATGTGATTTTACTGGTTGTCGTCTATCATTTAATGAACCTGAGAAAATGAGTAAAGTAACAGTACACTGTTTAAAACATTACAGGTAAAAACTGTTCTTTCATTTTTTACAGTGTAGATAATGCTCTTAGTCTTTGTAATTTACTTAATTAACTGTGTTTTACAGTGACAAAACCACACAGGAGGACCTAATATATACAGTAAATGTTTGATAATTCAGTCAAACCATACATTCAGCGCTTCATTTTGTTTTTTGCGTCCTTTTTTAAATGCATTATTATTCCATTTAATAACAAGCTCTACCCAAACCCCGACTGTATGTTGCAGGAGCTCTTACTGGGGGCCAGATGGGTCTGGGGGAGCTGCTGCAGCAGAGACTGCGCTGCGGTCAGGTCAGGGAGGCTCTGGGCGTCCTGGAGGCCATGGACTGGAGCACCACGGGGGAGGAGTGCTACCGAGGCCTGGGCTCGGTCACCAACCACCTGCTGAGGCTGGAGCTCAACGCAGACAGAGAGGGTGGGTCACATCGTTTGCAGCTAGCGTTGTATAAGCTAATTAAAATACTCGTTCTTCAGAATTCATGACTCATGTTAGCCTTAGGGGTTTGAGTCTTGCAACCAAACCTGTTGGCCTCGATTGAAGTTAGATTTTTATTTAGCGTTCATTTTCTGGTAAATGTTCTTTTTAATTGGCACTTTGTGAATTAAAGTTTAGTTTCTGGAAAACAGAATATATAACAAAAAGCTCACTAATATGCAAAAAGGCAGCAGATTTACCCGTGCTAACTACATTTTCTGTAAAAAAAATAAACAGAAAATACGCTCGGCTGAATTGTTTGTATCTGCTAAAACCTTGTGAATGCCGTTTGTATTTGTTAATTTGACTGCGTGTGCTTCTGTTGTGTCTGCAGCCCAGCTAGAGGCAGCTCTGGGTGTGTTTTATGCCCCACCTGCCCCTCTCTCTGATACAGTGATACTGGAGTACAGGGAGCCAATCAGCAAATATGCCCGCCGCTTTTTTCACCACCTCCTCAGGTAACACCACCCACCCCGTGCTGTTGACGTGGTCTTAATTTGCTGCACTGAGGGAGAAATTTGACTGTGCGCGTCCTCCAGGGGGGTCAAGGTCGGCTTTTCAGGAGCACTTCTGGAATTAAACAATATCTAAACAGTACAAGTGTTAAGACAAGTTCCTCTGTCAGGCTACAGATCTGCTGCTGGTGGTCACGTAACTCCTCACATCCACTGACTGTTTTTAAGGCATTAGCGGAACGCTCAGGGTGGAGAATCAGAATAAGAGGCACTGTCCAAAAAACGTCTTTCAGAATTTGACGTCAAATTAATGCCGCTTGTTTGCTGTTGCTATTTTAAAAAATTCTAAAAAGGAAATAGCTTTTGGATTTCATCACACTCTCTCACGTAGCGACGCAGCTTTGAGTCATTCATAAGGCGAAGCGCCACACATGCACCTGTTTAGACTGTTGTTTCTTTCTCCCTTCTGCCATGAGAGCCTTTTGAAACGCCTGTTTGACTGAAATAGACCCTGTTGTTCCCACACACTGCCGCTCGCTGCTCTCCATCCTGCAATTACCTCCCTTTTCCCTCTCTTCCTCTTTCCTCCTCTGTAGCAGAGCTGGAGCGTTGTTTGGCATCCCTCCTCCTCTCCTCTCTTATCACCTACCTGCATTCTTTTTCTCTCCATCAACATCAAATGAAGGAAGCCTCCCCCCCCTCACACTCCCTCACACCTCCTCTCTCCGCTTGTGTTTGTTTGTTTCATGTTGGCTGTAGACAGGGAAAGTTGAGGTGTTTTGTACTGGGAGATACAGCTCTCTCTCTCCCAGCTTTAATTCTGGATAATAGGAAAAGAGCTCGCTATTCTCAGTTCAATTATTGACAGTGTTGTACGCAGAAGTGTACGTCTGCGGACGGAGGAACGTGTCTGTGTGCACACCAGAGAAAGCAGGAAATAGTAGCACAGACTTATTCCTCTATCGTTTGTCATCCAAAGCATGTAGATTGATTATCATCTCCATTGTCTTTGCAGGCACCAGCGTTTTGAGAAGGCCTTCCTCCTCGCGGTAGATTTAGAAGACAGAGATCTGTTCATGGTGAGTCAGAAGAAAACATCCTGAAAAACAAAATGTGACCCAAAGGTTGCTGGTAATAAAACCCTTTAATGGCTGTTTTTAAGTCAGTTCATCTCCAAATGTATGATGTTGTGAACACAAACGACCTAACAAAATAGTTGAAAAAGTGCATTTAAATCATGAGATATTTCACAAACTGCACCATCAGTTCTTTAGATGTCATTTTAAATGGATAAAATATTTGCTAATCAGTCCACGCTTAACAAACTACACCTAACAAGAGATATCAGTTGCTGATTCTAATTTTGTTTTAGGTGGTCATTATAGATTATTTATTCTAGATTGTGGGGCCAAAAATGGCAGCTTTGCCCATCTAAAACTTAAATCTACACCTCATTAGAGTGTCCAAAAAGTCAAGGATTGCAAACAAGCAATACACATGAGCTGCATCTGTAAAACACACAACAGGTGACCACAGGCAGGTAAGGGAGGGGAGGTATGGAAACTTCTTTTATAGGCAACTGTACAAATTTCCTGGAGGTTTGCACTTACGAACACTCTGTAGGTTTTGAAGATAAGTATAACCAAGTGTATTCTTTTACTGAATATTATTTTTTTGGCATGTTTTTCTTCATTGCAGCAGTTGAAAGTGAAAATGGAAGAAGAGGGAATGATGCAGCATGAAACAAATGTGGTGCAGTTTTAATGTTTGTGTCTCAACTACTGACTCCTGAGCTCTTGTTGGAACAGTTTAATGACATCTAGCGGTTCTTACAACATTAATCAAAAAAGTCAGTGTTTCTATTTTATAGAATAGGATCACCCACATGCCTGGTGTCTCTTCTTCATATGATTTTTTTTTACTTGGTCAGATTTAAACCTGCAAAAAGTAGATGAAAACTTAGACAAGCTCACATAAACATTGACAACTTTATCCTCATAGTCGCTCAAATACTTTAAAACATCCTTCATAGGTTGTAAAAAACAAGAACTACTATTATCTTACTATTTATTATTATATTATTACTATTATATGCAGAAATGCAGCCGTGACATGGAAGGACTGAAACTTTGGTGTAGTTTGTTTATGAGCAAAGAGTCCTACATCAACCCTTTGAGTAAAGAAGAAAACAAAAAAGCATATTTAGTTTCTTACTCAGTAGTTAGATGGACTCTAGAGGGTTACATTAAACTCATTATAAGGAGCATTTATGGACGTTTACTGCAGCTTCTTTAGTGCTCAGAAACCTGTTGTAATTGTTCTGTTGCAGTCGTGTCACTCGTAGCCCGGAGCAGGTGTGATGTCGCTCTGGGCCTCCATCTTTTCACAACCTCCACGGCCTCGCCTCGGCCTTCTCCACTCCTCTCATCTTTCCTCCACTCTACGCTGAAATGCTCCTCTATGTGTCCGACCCCCTTTTTTTCTTTTTTTTTTTTCATGGGGCCCCCTTTGGCTCCATGCTTCACCAACACCCCAGACATTAATACAGACCCGGATACACACACACACACACACACACTCCTACTGGTCCCTCAATCACACTGATAGCACTGGTTCCAATTCCCTCCCCACTAAGTAGTGCTGCTGGGAAGCCGAATTGAAAAGGTGGAGTCGAGCCTGTGAACCTTGAAAGAGTGCAAAGGAAGGAGGAGGAGGGGGAGCAGCGAGGAGAGGAGGGGGTAGGTGGTGTAGATGGAAAGCTAAATGATAAATGCAAAAGAAAAAAGAAAAGGTGGGGGAGAGGAAAAACAAAGTCCTGCCCTGTCACGATGGAAGTCAAATGTTGCTCAGAGCAGGATCTGAATCAGCTCTGATGGGTGGAGTCGGCTACGTCAGGAGCCACAAGAACGAACCAGCTACAGTCATTATTCCCATAGTGCTACGTATGAGCCACATGTATTAGGGGTCAGTCAGGATGGCCTTCTCAGACTGATGATTAGTAACCAAGGAGACCAATAAGTGATGTTTGGAACTCCAACACAAAACTTTGTTGAAATGCTTTTGTTTATTTATTTTTTATTTATGCTTAATTATAGAAACTTCTCAGCATTTCTCTTTCAGTGTCATTACTCGTGATGTGTAATTAATCAGATGGTGCTGTAGGTGGGACATTACTTTAGATCTGCATCAGAGCATGAGTAGTCCATATGGGTTATTCCATATCGAATCATCAGGGGCCTTCTGTTCAGTCATCTCTGATTTGTTTAAAACATTTTTATTATAAACTAATAGTAGCTGTGAACTTTTAGCTTGACGTATCAATTACTTTCTCAGATTTTTTTTTTTTTTAATTGCCCATTGCACAGTGAATTTAAGGCTGTTTAAAGATTACAGATAAAAGTTTTTTTCTCTTCATGTCATTGATCCAGAATCTACAAAACTGGACAAATAGATCAATACATTTCAGATTCTAGGTGAAAAAAACTGAAACAGTCGTGATAAGTTTCATATTTAAGCTCACGTTAACAAAATAATAAATAACGCAGAAGTCAACTAGTGAACCATATGTAGCTGCGTGTTACAATAATACAAACCAACACATGTAGAAGACTTTATGATTTGAAAGACACGGTCGCAAAAGTGGGACAAAAGTTATTTTTGTTGAACTTTAACAGCTGATTGAGCAAGTATGACAGGTTACACCACAGCAATAAGATTATCACTGGATAGGGGGATCCATGTAGTCAAATGTGTCTCCAAATATATCTAACAAAACGTTATTTTAATAAGAGTATATTTTTCATTTTTGAGTTTAATCTACTTGTCCAATTTAGCAGATTCTGTATTTGATATATATAAAGCGAACATTTCTCTGATATCTTTATAAACATCTTTATCTTAAGCTAGATAAACTCAAAAAATGTGATGATTTGATGTGGAATGACATTTTTAAATTAACGTATTTATTAGGAATATTTTTTGTTGTTGTTGTTTTTAAAATAGCAATACCTATTATCGGAAAAATGCTGAAAGTTTTATCTGATAATTAGTCAGGACCAATAACCAGTCAGCCCCTAACATGTGCTATACTTTGAAAATCCTCCTGCAATGTGCTGACCTAAACACCCAAACATTTTTTATTCATGAAGCATTTTTTTCTGAAAGAATCAAATTTGTTTTCAGTAACACTTTTTTCATGCAAGTCGATGACCACAAGAAAGACATTAAAATCTAAAATCAAACCAATTTATGTAGATTTACAACTTTTAACCGCTGTCATAATTATTTGAAGATACTTTTGTGTGAGACACAACAGGCACATTAGACTAAAAATCACCAGACTGATGATTGGTGTGATTATTCAGTCGCAGTTTTACACTTAAAAAAAAAGCAGGTTCAGTCACAGGAATGATTCAGACGGCTGGAACTTAGAGAACGTGACCCTTTGACTCCAGATTGTGTGATGTTATCCAGCAGTGGTACGTCACCGTCCAGTGGCTCCTGGAGCTACACGACCACAACGACGAAACATCTCCAATTATGGAGCCGCTTCACTCGTCCATTTCACTTGTTTGAGAACTCCAGAGTTTGTCTCTGATGCGACACCTGACCAGTCAGAAGCTTTTTTTTATTGCTTGTTTTAAATCAAACGTGCAGAGTTGATATTTGCACACATTTAATCAATCAGACGTACAATTTGACTTTTTGCTTTTTATACAAACGAGCTCAAGAGGCAGAAGTAGCACCTGGTTCAGATAACCGCCGACGCTCGTCATCTCAGATCTGTAACCAAGTTAATTCTCAGCCACAACGAGCTTTTTCAAGCGTTTTCTTGCCTCAGCGACCAAGAGAGCAGCAACTCCTCGTCTCCTGAAAAGAGGCGAAACGGAGAGAGAAGGGAAGGGAATAGAGGACGTTGACATCTCACCCCTGGCTCTGTCCTCCGGTCTAATTAGGTTGTGTTGTTGCTTTAACCCGCTGGTCGGCTGATTGAGTTGAGGTGGAGGGGGTTAATGAGGGCGACCCCCGCCTTCTCTTCAACTCTTTCTAACTTCCAAACAGAACTCAATAACGCACCGTCGACTAGATAAAATGCACGCACACACACAGATAACACGCACGCCCTCACCTCTTTTAGCAGCGCTCAGCATGATGCACCCCCTCCTCTATCAGCGCACCCCCGGCAGGCCCCATTGTTTCCCAGCTAACAATAGAGGCCCTCCAAGCCTTTTTTTTTTTTTTTTTTCTCCCCACAAAAAGAGAAACCTTTTGTTAAAATGAAACACTTTAGTGTCGGGCTAAATTGAGGGGGAGGAGGACTTGGTGGCGGGGGGGTGTTTTGGCGGAGGTGGAGGTTGGTGGGGGTGAATGTAGAGTTAGTTAGCAGAGGGTTACTGCATTTTTTTCCCCCCCATAATTGTTCTGTAGCTCCCTAATTAGCCTTTGATAATGAGTTGATAATGCAACCAATTAGGTCATTCGTCAGCCAAGTCAAGCCAACAACAAGTTTTTTTTTTTTCTTCACCTCCCTCCTCCCCCTTTTTTCCCTCTTCTTCTTCTTCTTC